GAATCTGGAGCAGCCGTGCCCGGCAACCAATCAGCTTCTCTCTCTCATTTCCAAATCTTAACTGAACAAACTGAAGGTAGAAGCTGATTGGTTGCCAGGCCCAGCTGCTCCAGTTTTGATAAATTCCCCCCAATGTGTGTTGGTAAAGGGCTTTTGGGAGAAGTAGTTCTGGCGGCACGACTATGTCATCTGACCTCCCAGCAGCTGCGTCTGAAATCATTTTACAAGACTGGTGATAATGTCATAGGGGGGTAATAAAAGCTGCTTCCTGCTACAGAAACAAGCTGAATGAAAAACATTGTGCTAGCTCAGGCTCTAGAGGGGGAGAAGGAAGTAAATTTGGGTCATGCTGAACTTCTGAAGCTGAACTAAATACAAGAAACATGTCTATACTTCCATGAATATCGGTGAGCCCTGTGACTTTCTTCCAGATCTGTGCGGTAATCCAGTGTGAAGCGTCCTGTAATAAAGACCGCCCACTGCTGTGCTCTCTCCTTGTGCAAGGTGACTGGTCTTGTCTCCGCCCCCCGTAATAAAGACAGCCCACTGCTGCTCTCTCTCCTTGTGCAGGGTGACTGGTCTTTTCTCCGCCCCCTCCTGTAATAAAGGCCGCTCACTGCTGCTCTCTCCTTGTGCAGGGTGACTGGTCTGGTCTCCGCCCCCTCCTGTAATAAAGACCGCTCACTGCTGCTCTCTCCTTGTGCAGGGTGACTGGTCTGGTCTCCGCCCCCTCCTGTAATAAAACACCGCTCACTGCTGCTCTCTCTCTCTCCTTGTGCAGGGTGACTGGTCTTGTCTCCGCCCCCTCCTGTAATAAAACACCGCTCACTGCTTCTCTCTCTCCTTGTGCAGGGTGACTGGTCTTGTATCCACCCCCCTATTATAGTTTTGTGAAGGCAGCCTGCAGTGGGTGGACTTTGTTGGGTCCCTCCCACAGTTCTGCTCTCTGCAGCACATTGATGACATCACCACTACATGTGCAGGCTAATAACTGGGTTTGCAAGTTTGTGGACACAAAGTGGGTTTACATCCTTTGCGGCTATTGAGCAATATATTTTTGTGGAGGGACCTCATTCAGAACGTTCACAAAACACAAAGCGATCATTCATGCTGAATAGGCGACATTGAGAACAAAGGGCATGCAGACGGGACTTTCTCATTATGTTCTTTTATTGCCGGGGTTGGTTTAATGATTGCGCTTCGCCTTCAGGTTTATTTATTTTCATCTGAGTTCCGCGGTGCGCGCTTCGTTAACAACTTCCCCTGTGAACAAAAACTGTGAATCGTGAAATCACAACACACACAAAAAAAAAAGTGCACGAGGGTGCTGGGGTACCCCTTCGAAGAGGAAGGGCCAAGGTCCACCTACCCCAAGGCCGGCGCACCCCTTTCCTCAGGGGTCCTGCCGAAACAGGACCCTCAAGTACTAAGGCGCCCCCCAAGTGGGAGAAGGCAGAGAGTCCTATATGAGGGTCACAGAGCCTCCTCCCTAACATCAGGATAGGGCCCCCGAAGGTACCCGCACCCTCCGTCATCTGTGAGTCAAAAGTTCCAAGTGCAAACGTAAGTGCTATAAATAAATAGGTGCCAGTGCAAGACATGGCCATGTTTAAAAATTGCCCCGGGCTAGCCAAAAGGCCTGCCCCAGAGGCAGAAAATGCCGTTCGGTGCCGTGACCTAGTGCACAGTGAATCACTTGTGGGGTCCCAAACCCTAATGATTTCTCTGGCACCCCTGAGACGCCACCCCCAGTGGGCACAGCACCGCGGGCCTCTGCACCTCCTAACCCTCCAGCCAGACGGTTCTATTGTACAGCTCCATGTCGCCGGTCGCTCGTCGCTTGTGCAGGACCCGTTTCCCCGCGATTTTTCTATTTTTGCATGCAGCTCGACGGTGAAGGTCGCGCCATCGTCGCCGGAACGGTCGCGCCATCGTCGCCGGAACGGTCGCGCCATCGTCGCCGGAACGGTCGCGCCATCGTCGCCGTGCGGAAATCCGCTCGAGGTAAGTGTCGCTTAGTGTGAATGGGGCCTTAGCCAAAAGGCCGAGAAGCGATGCCTTCAGGTTTATTAGTTTAATTTGGATCACACTGAAAAGAAAGGTGCTCGCTCTGATGTTTACTGATAAAGTGGTCCACATCTTACAAATCCTGCCGGGGGGTATAAACTTCTGAGCACGGCCGTATATCTGGGACAAAAAAGTGAAACCATTAAAGATTCCATGAAATGAATGTGTGTAAAGAATTCTTTCTATCCCTCACAATCCCCATCTTTGAAGGTCCCCCAGTCACCATTGTTCGGTCTTCCATATAGGATCTATCAGGGACGCCCTGCGGTGGGTATAAACACAGAGCCTTGTGCATCCCTGTGCCTTTAAGGGGGGTTGCCTTTAAACCTGCACCCAACTTGATCTTTTGCCCCATGTGCTCCAAGATGGAGACTGTCATAGTTTAGAGTTAGGAGCGCACTATAAGAGGTGCCTTGGCGCGGCTGTGCGGCTTTCACATATCCTGCAGAAGACGTGTATCCAAACCTCTTTTTACCCCTAGCGGTCAGACAAGTTTTTTTTGCATGCTGGCTGGTGAGTGCGCTGGGAAAACTTTTTGCTGTTTAAAACACAGAACCTGGCACATTGATCACTTAATAATGAAAGAACACTAACCAGAGCGTCAGAAGAAATTCTTTATTAGAGGAGTCACCAATTTGACCCAAAGCTTGACATAGCGGCTCGGGTGCTGGAACGTAGAAGGAGTCACTTCGCTTGATCGCTCGTAGAGATTTTCTTGCTCCTGAAACATATGAGAGATTTGGATTTCAGTCACTTAGCACAGCTGGCGCCCGCTTCACACAATGTCAGTATTCGGGGGATAGAACATCTGACATGACGTCTGGACTGGTCCTATGTCCATAACCAGAAGGGCTGAGGAGCCTCAAATTATCACCTCACATTTAGGGGTCCCGATATAAAGATGAGCTATAATTTTTATTAGGGATGCACTGATACCGATACTGGCATCAGTGCCGAGTATTTGGGCAAATGCTCCGATACCTAGCCCGATACTTGAGCTTCTGGTATCAGGAAGCCGGGCAGGGAGTTATTGCATGCTGCCCAGCTTCCCGATTGGCCGGGAAGCCGGCTCCATGCTCCCTCGTCACTTGTGACAAGGGAGCATGGAGCTGGCTTCCCAGCCAATCAGGAAACGGGGCAGGATGTAATAACTCGCTGCCCGGCTTCCTGGTTGGTCGTGACGAGAGAGCATGGAGCCGGCTTCCCGGCAAATCGAGAAGCTGGACGCCACTTCATTACACCGCGCCCGGCTTCCCGATTGGCCAGAAAGCCGGGTCCACGCTTTCTCGTCACCTAGTGATGAGGGAGCACGGAGACGGCATCCCTGCTAATCGGGAAGCCGGGTGGCGAGTCTTTACACACCGCCTGGACTTCCTGAATGGGGCTTTTGGTATCGGCGGGTACCGAAAATAAATATCGGTTCTCGATACTGAAAAACTGGTATCGGCGCATCCCCAGTCTTTATTATAGTTACAAGTGAAAGAAATCAGCTTAATAGGGTGTTTGTACTCACCGTAATTAAGGGACAAAGGAAGTCTTTGACCTTCGGGTTATACTGCCACCTATAGGAGGACTGGACATGGGAAACCAAACGTCCGCTCCCAGCATGCCTCGGCTTTATAGAAAAGCATTACCGAGATCATGATCATAAAGGCTGGGTTCACACCTAGGCGTATCGAATATGCGCGTTTGGCGCGATTCGCGGAAAAAAAAAATGCGCGGCAAACACGCGTTTCTGAGGGCTACCTGGCTGTATCCCAATGTAAACGCACGACAAAAACGCCCCAAAGAAGCTCCTGTACTTCTTTGGGCGTAGTGCGTTTTGTAGCGCGTTCACAAGGCCTGTTATACGCCCAGGGTGTGAACCATACCCATAGGAAATAATGGGATTTCGCTGTTTGAGCGTTTTGCAGAGCGTAGGAACGCGCTACAAAACGCCCAGGTGTGACCCGGGCCAAAACACAGAGGGGCGGGACCTAGAACACTAATAAAAAATTAGGCATAACCGAAAGTGAAAGACTGTCCCTCAATGGGTGAGAGAGAAATAAAACATTGACATTCTTGTATTTGTGGTTGAATACCGTTCTTGGCCAAACGTCTGTGGACACCGGACTAATGTGAGCTTGTTGAACATTCCATTCCAAAACTATGAGCATTCATTTGGGGTTGCCCTCCCCCCCTTTTAGGCTATAACAGCCTCTACTCTTCAGGGAAGGCTTTCCACCAGATTTTGGAGTGTGTCTGTGGAATCGGCGCCCATTCAGGTGGGACAAGAAGTCCGGGCTCACAATTGGTGCTCCAACTCATCAGTAGGCTTGAGGTCAAGGGCTGTGTGAAGGCCACTCGAGTTCCTCCACACCAAATCCATCAAGCCGTGTCTTTATAGAGCCGAATGTGTGCACAGCATGCTGGAACGGAAAATGGATTTCCTCAACTCAACTCTTTCCACAAGGTCGTTAGTGACAATTGTCTAAAATTCCTTTATCTGTAAAAAATAAGTCAAGGCAACTGGACTCGCTGTATTTTTCTCGAAGACGTTTCACTGGTCACCCGACCGGCTTCCTCAATTCAGAATGCCTTGTACAAAAAAAAAAAAAACCATTTTGTTCTGAATGGAGAAAGCTGGTCGGAATTCACTATATTGCACACCACACTTTTTTTTTTCTTTTTCACTTCCACCGCTCCAAGCTTGCTCCTGTGATGGACTACAACCTCAATACAAACTAGTAGTCCCATCACTGGAGCCATTTTTTATCCGATTAACCGATTAATCGAACTTAATAATCGGCTAACTAATCGATTTTGAAAATAATCGTTAGCTGCAGCTCTAGTACGAAATATGGATTTTCGTTAGTTTCGTCACATTTTCGTTCCGTTACGAACATTCGTTATATTGACGTTAAAAAGCAAAAATACCTTTGTTAATATATTAGAGTCGATGTGGTAGTTGTTTTTTTTTTTTATCCGAAATAGGAAATTCCGTTAACGGATTTCGGATCCGAATTTCTTATAAAAAAAAAAAAAACTACCATCTTAAAAACTACCATTTTAAACTTCAATATAACGAATGTTCGTAACGGAATGAAAATACGTCAACGGAATTTCGGATATAATTCGGAAACTGCAATTCGGATTTCGGATGCTTCCGAATTTCGATTCGTAACGAAACAAATCGCACGTCTCGTATGCATTAATGGCCCATTCCCTGGAGGCACCTGAACCCAATCGCTTGGAGGGGGTGCCCGCATACCTTTGGCCGTGTAGAATCTGTGCGCATCGGGCAGCCATGTGTGAACACAACATATGCAGACTGTGCTCCCTGTGCTTTGCTGATGTTCTTCTCTCAGGCCCAACAGACCACGTCTGCCTTGAAAATCAATCAATCGTGCGCCCTCCTTACTTATAGGAGCCTCGGCTGGAGGTCCAGCTTGATACAATTATTACAACATTCAGTATTTGCTCAGTACTTTATCCCCAAGGCCTTACCGACTGAACAACAGCGACCGTCAGAAAACATTACCACTCTCCGCCGGGCTCGGCAATGCGCTTTATTCCTATTCCCAGTTCAGCGCTGACATCGTATGTACGGGGAAAGAGATACTGCAATCACAAAATGTTTTTCTGCAGTTATATTGGCTGACGTCTGCCGGCATTTTGATTTCTTTTTATGGGCCGCTGGTACTATCAGGGGATTCCCACGCATTTCGCCTTTAATTATCTGTCATTATATTTTACTACAGGGAGCAGTCTCCTGACACTCTGTGACACTTCTGGCATGATCTCTTACCGTCCCTCTCACCTCCAGCTCTGCCCCTTCTCTCCATATTGGCTTTCTGGGCAATCTTGCCTAACCCTAACTGGATAATATTATTATACAGGGTTTATAGAGCGCCAACAGTGAGCGCAGCGCTCTACAATATAAGGAAGACATTACAATGACAATACAATTCAAGGCAAGGTGGTAAGGAGGGCCCCGCCCCTGAGAGCTTATAATCTACAAGGGAGGAGCCAGTGATACATGAGGAGGTCGCTGTGTGGGGATGAATGGTTCAGTGGTTAGGTTGAGGTGGGATCGGCTTCCCTGATGAGAGTCTTTAGTGATCGCCTAAAGGCAGTCCGAGTGGGAGATAGTCGGACAAGTTGGGCTAAAGAGTTCCAGAGGATGGGAGAGACTCTACAGAAGACTCTAGGACAGTGGTGGCGAACCTTGGCACTCCAGCTGTGCCAAAACTACAAATCCCAAGATGCATCTGCCGCTGGGAGTTATGTCTGTGGCTGTCAGAGCCTTGCAATGCCTCATGGGACTTGTAGTTCCAAAACAGCTGGAGTGCCAAGGTTCCCCACCACTGCTCTAGGATATCTTACCTAATAAGCAGTGCTGGGATAAGGTACTTTAGCACCCAAGGTCAAAGTGCACCCCAATATTCCCCTATGAACCCTAAGCTACTTCAGCAGCATAGATTTCAGGTCCTGTCCTTCTTGCTGCTGAAGCACCAAGGTGGCAGCTCCCCCTCATTAGGACAATCTGACCTCCCCTCCCCGTTGTCAGCTAAACACATACAGAGCTCTGAAATTGGGTCCTACTGGGTTCTGCCTCAATGTCTACATGAGGCCAGCCATTATCTTCTTCTGCTGCCTGTGCAGTACAACCCCATTCACTTCTATGGTGCTGGGGGAAGGATGGGGTTTTGAGTGTCGTCTCCCACCCTTGCGTGGCCCAGCCCCTCCCGCCTCGTTCCTTATAATATAAAATGAATATTGTAAGCTCTCAGGGGCAGGGCCCTCCTTCCCATCTTGTCTTGAATTTTATTGCGATTGTAATGTCTTCCTTATATTGTACAGCGCTGCGCAAACTGTTGGCGCTATATAAATACTATGTAATAATAATAATATTACCCATGAATGTTGGAAACCCTTCATAACCGGCACAGCGAGTGCGCAATTCAGGGAACTCGGTTCAGAAATCTCTCCAAAAGAAAAAAAATAAACTTGTCGTGTGGTTTAACTCTCATCTACAGAACCAGAAACATCGGGTTTGTGCGGACTGACCCTTTAAAAAAAAAAAAAGAAAAGAAATGACCCATTAACGGTCACATTGGCAGTCAGGCTGCCAGGCCATTGATTCTAAGCTCATCACCCGTCAGCGAGGTAAAGAAAAGCCTTTCCACCACAATTCCTCCCTAATGCATTGCAAAATGTCCTGCGATAGCAAACCATTGCCAGTAAGTGCACAATGCAGGGTGTGTGATGAGGAAGCCTAACCAAAGCCATCAGGGCCATAAACCACATGACAAAACACATCCCCGAGTGTGTCAAGATATATAAAAAAAAAACTGCACCACTGTAACACTTCCTGACTTACTGTAAAACCGCAAGAGGGGGACATTAAAGGAAAAAGCTGAAGTGACGTGATTGCCGGCGACGGCCTTGCGGGGCCGCCGGGTTCGGCTTTCTGCAAATAAAAGCCTCTTGCGCCATAGTCTGCGATTGTCCAAACCTCGCCATCACATGGGAGGAAATGGATACTCGTCGAGTGGCTCGTTTTACAATAACTGACACAGCAATTCTTCAATGAGAACGTGAACTGTGGTGGTAAAACCCTCACGTCTGGCTTAAAATAGACATTCGCAGTGTCGAGTACCGGGCTGATGTGCCAGAAACCGGAACAAGTGAACGGAGCTGTGGTCATTACCCGGCACTGGACTCTATTGATCACCATTCATTGATTTACGGGTAGAATGGCGGAAAAAGGCGGGGTACCTTATTTTATGAGTCAATTCCATATGACCCCCCGCCCCCCCCCCGTCGGCAAATTTCCTTATTTTATGAGTCCATTA